GGAACTAAATTCATCAGAATCAGAATTGTACTAAAGCAAAATGTAACATTACATCTTGGAAGTTTCAGAAAAAGTAAACGAAGAGCAATTTCAGATTCAATCTACATGAAACCCTATCATTTCATTTCCGCTCCAAAATTTCGCAAACTAAGTGAATTTTTGTTCCTACCAAGAATATCAGTTGAACAGATCAGTACAAAATGGATTTGGCCTCACCAACCTTATAGCCATCAACTCCGAAATCCAACTACACACGTGCTGCGACGGAGGCAGCGGCGGTTGAGGTGGCGCCGCCGAGGAAAGAGAGGAAGCCAGCGTTGGCCGGCTCCTGGTCGTCAAGGAATAGGTCCTCTGGAACCCTAAAAGCACCGTGCGCACAAACAATGGCGAAGCCGATCAACAAAGCCGAGATGAGGAGCGAGCCGACGCTGGAGACGAAGACCACGACCACAGTCAACACGACGAGGCCGACAAGTGTTTCTGCGTCAGAGAAAGTGCGGCCGAGGATCACCAGGGGCTGATCGGAGGGTCTAAATAGGTAGAGGAAGGCCCACGCGCCGAGGAGGGAGAGTAGGACGAGGAGAGAGAAGGGGTGGGTGAGGAGAGAGAGGGCGAGTACGAGGGCGAGCAGGGATACGTAGTTGACGCGGAAGTAGGTGAAATTCTTGCGGATCCGAGAGTAGGCGTCGGAGAGGGAGTCGGGTCGGGCCAAGGAGCTCCGGTCTAGGAGCTCGTACCAGGGCCGGCGCTGCGAGAAGCCGTAGCGGATCGAGGAGGAGAAGCGTGAGATGAACGCGCGGAAGGCGGGCGTGGCGATCGGAGGCTGTGACTGGGCGCCGACGGTCGATTGGTTGTTGGAGATCGGGAGTGTCGGTGGGCTGGCCATTGTCGGCGCGTGAGATGGCGGGCGTCTTGGAGGGATGTTCTTCGGTTAAACACGAGAAACAAGAGGCAATGAGAAGCTGTTTTATTGGAGCGAATTTAGTTATGGCGACGGTGATTTGGAAGGGGGCTGATCGTGTGTGTGGGAAGGTGTATGGTATTTAGATTGTGTATGCTTAAGAAGCCCAAATGTAAATCTGGGCCGAAATCTTAACAGCCCAATATAATTCCTGTGGGTTTAGTCCACTTCAGCATTTAGTGACATTTTTGTTTGTGACCAAAACACAGGTCATTTATACGTTAAGATATGGCATTTGTAAATTATCCACGTGTTATAAGATGCGTAGATTGAGTAAATTCTTAATATTGAAAATCCCAAGCAGCATAGCCTAATTCTACGATTAATAAATTAATAATATCACGTAACAAAGTAATTGTCTCACCATATCACGTAACAAAGTTATTGCCTCATCACGTGACCCATGTAGCAAGAGTAGTCTTTAAGAAGCCAGTTAGGCATGACTTGACAGTTTTAGACTAGAGCCTAATATATCTGTATTATTAATAATTGGATTAAGTGGATTAATGGATGCGATAAGTTAGGCCTAAAAAAGGTTTGAGGCATTTTCTTTGATTAGCGACTACATTAAGCTATTGGTTATGTTTGGCCTGAAAACATCAAATCAGGTCAAAAATAAAAGCATTTTGATTCTGCATCCTTGGAAGGCCACACGTAAATTGGCATACTCCAGCACGCTATCCTTTTATCAATGGATACAAAGTTTATTGCCCAAATTAAGGTGCAGATAATCTTATCCATTGCTTTCATGATAAAAATTTGTAAATAAAAATCTGTAAATTAGTTCAAATAGTATGTAACCTACACTACGGAAAAAAAAAATGACAATAGTCATCATTATTTGGTGAGATTTGTTGGAGTGACTAAAGTTTTAATAGGTCCACCACTGATTATACTAACGTGATATAATAAATAATTATACTAAGAGCATCCACAGTGGAGGAATGTAAATTCGGGGGTATAAAGCCACTTTTACATCCTCTTTACACTTCCGGGGGGTGTAAATATGTTTTTTGCTTCAGTAGGGACTGTAAATTCAGGGGTGTAGCCGTGAGTCCTAGCCTTTTATGTTGACTTTTCTTTATTTTTCTTCTCTTTTCTCTGATAGGTCCCACCTACAAGGGATGTAAAAATATATGTAAATATACATTTTATTTTACATCTCTTTGGTGGTGATGTATATTTACATTCATTTACATCTCTCTATTGGAGACGATTCCAGTGACTTTGGGTGTATATTTAACATACACACCCCCATTATGGATATTCTAACTACGTGATACAACAAACCAATGTTAAAGTTATGTATAGCCTAGCAAGCAAGGAAAGAAAGAGCCAAACCCATTTATTGCTATGTGCAAACTTGCATATGCTAAATGTGCTCATAAATTTTTGGTCATACTCACATGTAAAACAATTAGCTCCTTTTCTTAGCAGGTTGACTGATTCATCTTTGCCTTTTTTCTCTGATTTCCATCCACACCAATAACTCGTTTTCTTCTTCTAAGTTATCATGCACCGATTAAAGGATACATTATGTTATGCTGTATATATCCATGGTGTGTGACACGTGTCAACTGCATTTCTTGCACAACTTTCCATCTAAAAGTTTCTTCCAGTCTATCATCCAGCCAATTATATTCTTCTACTCTTGACTTTTCCTCCCTCCAGAATCTTTTCTTTTTCAATTATGCTTCTGGACATCACAAAGTACCCGCATGGAGTAATTGCTATCTCAAATGAGATTATGAGTTCGAGTCTTAACATTCGTGTTGCGTATGTGAATTTAGTGTGTTATCGCTCATTTCAATAGAAAAAGTCTTTTAAAAAATAAATAAAAAAGTTGGACATGCCTATAAAAATGGACATGATGCTTGAAGTGCTTATAATTTAAGCAGCTGGGCTAAAGGAGAGTTAAACTTTGATTAGTAAGTCTGCTTAATTCAATGGCTTCTTGTGGTTTTCCTGACATATTTTCCTGGATTCAGAGCCTTCCACCAGTCACTCAATGGCCAACAACTTCCATATCCATATCCATATGTTCCTCAAGTTCATCCCAACCATCTCTCAAACTCACGATTTCTCAAAACCATCAAACCCAAAAACTCTCTTTTGCAATTGCTGCAGATTTCAACCTCCCCATATTTCTTTGGACCTCAAAACAATTCAAGTTCAGCCCCAAATCCATCAAGCTAATATCTCAAGAAACTTTCTCCAGCCTCTTAATCAATTTCATTGAAGATGTGCTTCGTTATGGCTCAAACAATAACAATTTCTTGATCAAATTTCTCAAACTAGATTCCATTGCCAACTTTGGAGATGTTTTTAACCTCTCATTTGTCAGTCTCCTCTTCCTTGTTTGCATCTATGAAGCACCTGCTGATCTCCGATCGGGATGTCTTGACAGTCTCAAGAATTACTTGGCAAATTGTTGGTCAAGACAAGCATCAAAGTCTCTCATGAAAGTGTTAGGATCCAATTTAGAAGAGGAATGGATGAGGTCCATAAATCTTGCAATTACCAATTGGATTGCAGAGCTCCAAGCCACCCAGCGCACCCTCGTGAAAACACCATCTCCACTTTTCTCTTATGCATTTTCAACATTTGGGTTATGGAAAGTCCAATTGTATTGTCCTCTCATAGCCATGGACATTGCAAATTCCAGCAGCCCTTCTGTCGATGAGAGACTGCAATTCTCTCTAAATTACCACCAGCTTGAGGGCGTGCTTCAATTCAATTCCAAGGTCATAGTTCAAGAGAGGTGGATTGATGTGATGCTAAACATTGATAACATAAGGTACTTTTTAATGTTTGATAGCCAAATTTCTTGTAACACAAATTTTGATCACTAACTCTATGTATACTTGCCTTCTCTGTATTTTATTATTTATTTTTTTTGTCCTGAAGGTGTGATGTGATCAGTCTTGTGAATGAGAGACTGATGAACGAACGAGGAGCCGGTGTAGCTGAAAAGCACTTCCCTTCAAGAATTTCATTACAAATTACTCCAACCGTTCAAACCAATGTGGTAAGTGTTTCAGTGGGCAGGTCTTCTGAGAACCCTGCAAGAGAGATTGGCCACGAGAAAGGCATAGAAGGCTCATTTGAGCCCCCTAACCCTTACTTGGCACTCAAGGTATCAGCAGGAGAGACCATAACAATGAGCTTGAAGCCATGGAAATTCGAGGAATCGGTGTACGGCTATAGCGCTAAATTGAACTGGTTTCTTCATGATAGTGTGGATGGAAGAGAGGTCTTCTCTTCTAAGCCATCAAAATTTGCATTGATCAACCCCAAGGCATGGTTCAAAGATAGATACTCCAGCGCTTATAGGCCCTTCACAAGGCAAGGAGGGGTCATTTTTGCTGGTGATGAATATGGAGAGGGTGTGTGGTGGAAGGTGGACAAAGCTGCCATGGGAAGAACAATGGATTGGGAAATTAGAGGGTGGGTTTGGTTAACTTATTGGCCTAACAAACATAAAACATTTTATACTGAGACTAGGAAGCTGGAATTTAGAGAAATCCTCAGCCTCACAATTGCTTAATTTCTTTAGGGCCACAGTTACAATTGTTTAATCTAGGAAACCCAAGTGGAATTTGTCTCCAAGAGTAACCATTTGGAATATAAGATTCCAAATTAATGGTTTGAACTTTCAATGGAATGTAAAGTTGTAAACAATACATGTGCATTTGTATTTGCATGCAAATAAGTACTTTGAGTGAATTTAACTTATTGTCTCTTCTTCGAAGCACTCACCTGTATGTATGCGCGAAGTCTTGTGTTCGTTTTTCCTCTCGAAATTTTGATTTGTATTAAAAGAAGAGAAAAAATTCATGTAAATGGACCAAAGATATTTTGGGATTAAATTGCACCCAAAAGAAAGTATTGGGCTTGAGGTAGCCGAAAGCCCTATGTCGTGTCAAAAGCCCATTGCATGTGAATTTGATATCAACGACAGTATTGCAAATCATAGATCACGTGACGTGCACGTGGCATGCGGGCCTGTGTGACTCTACGACATGCCGTGCGCAGTAATAAGTTAGCGACAAATGCTGGAAACTAAACGTAGAAACTGATGAGAGGGGCGGACATTTCGAAGATCAACCTCCCCAACTGTGCTTAACCAAACACACACGTAGTGACTACTCTTCTTCTTCAAGCTCTCGATCTAACCCACAAAATTCCTCTATAAATCGCCATCTCAGACCATTTTCACCATTTCTGGTTCGTCAAAATCCCCAGAAATCTCTCGTCTGCATTTTGCTCTACTCGATTAGCTCCCTCCAACAATGGAGTCCTCTGCTGTTTTCCGATCCTTTAACTGTAACTCTTTCGCTCTCTCTGTTTTCATGCTTTCATATTTACATACATCCATGCATAGATAATATATTTTGGTATTTTGAAGCTTAAGCAGTGAGTGTGCTTGCATTAGTTGTTAAACAATTTGAGCTATGAATTTATTTTGTTGTTTGATTTCGTGGACGAACTGATAGAAGAAAAATCAATCAAAATGCTGTAGATTTTTCAAAAAGGAAATAGAAGATTTTGATTATTTCTGGATAACTAACTAAACTAAGCTGGTTCTTGCACACGCTGTTTGTGAAGGGATTAATGTATTGAAAGATATATGGATATGGAGGTAACAAATTAGGCTCCAACGGTTTGAGATCTGACGTGATATTCATTTTCTTGTTATCTTCAACCGTCACGGATTTCTATGATAAGCTTACCTAAGTGGATCTAATTTAAGAGGACAAATTGCATAATCTTTTTACTTTACTCTGCGAAGTGCAGACTATTCAACTATTGTTGAAGCTTGATCCAAATTTGGATTCTTATAAGACAGTGTCAAATTTTAGGTTCTGTAGGCACAGTTTCTCATGTTCGGTCCTCGCTTGACAAGCCTGGTATGCTTGCTGCGTATAATACCGCAAGGCCTACCGTGAGTAGATCATACTTCCAAGGCTTGATGGTTAGTGAGAAGTTCATTTATTCTCCACAAAAGCGGAGGGGAGTGCCAGTATCATGTGTGAAGACATCTGAAGCTGCCAAGAGTGAAAAATCCAGCGGTATGCTTTAGATTTGTATGTCATTTTTGTTTGGAGGTGGGGCAGGATGCAATTTTAGATGTATGAGTTTTTTGAACCACATTTAGTGTTTTAGATTTGTATGTCATTCAGAACTCGAAACAGTGTATATTTCCATGTCCATAATTGAATATTACTTAAGTACCCACAACGTGATTTCTCAGCTGAAGTCACTTTCTACTGCATTCATTCTACATTCTACTCTTGCCTGGATATTTCGTAAAGCCTGATTTCCATGACACTGGTGCATCTGAAGATTATTTTTGTCAATGAGAGAATATAGTTTACATCTGGGTTTGCTTTCTTTCTTTTTTGTTTTAGTTTTTATAAACTTCTGGGATTTCATTTGTGTTCTGGTATGACACTGCCTCTCTCTGTGTTGGCCCATGATAGAAATGTGCTTACACATGCTAATATGTCACTGTATCATAGTCTGAGTAAAATTATTAGAATTCCATCTTAGAGATGTTTTGATATTGGGCACTTTCAACAGATAGTAAGCCACAAGTCTCATCTGAGAGAACTACTCAACCCGCAACTTTTCCTAGTGGATTTGAGGTGAGAATATCTGTGTAAGGAAAAAAGTCTGTGATAAGACACATAGTTGTCTTTGAACTGTACCTTCTGGTTTGACACATAGTTGTCTTTATCATCAGGCACTAATGCTAGAAGTCTGTGATGAGACAGAAGTTGCTGAACTGAAACTTAAGGTAAATATCAACATCCATCAAGCAACCTGGTACTCTTGCAAATCTTTTGTTGTTGCCTTATGTGTAAATAAGATATGCATTTTATAGTAAAGAAAGAAAGTCAGTACTTCATTAAGAATCAGAAAAGCACTGGGTACTCAATATGTTAAGGTGATGATGAATACAAGGATCACCTTGTATCATAATATTAGTAGAGCGGCCTTAGCCTATCTATATTCAAGGGGTTTTCTTGCTTGTTAGAGCTTTAGTTTTGAGTAAGGACGTTTAGGCTTTACTAATAGAATATATAGGGCTTTCTCGCTTGTTTAGATTGCTTTGGCCTTGTCATCAGTATCTTGTTTAGTGAGGCCATGCAGTTAGCATAAGGGACAACATAAAACATTGTAGCATACATCATGGATTTCAGGACCTGGTTAAAGTTCATTAATCTCTAAGGCTTCTACCGTTTTATGGTATGGGTTGTCTAGAGTTGATTGTAATCTGCAACTTTTTGGCTGTATTTTACATTCTCTTTTTTGACTGACCATGCATATCTGTGTTAGGTTGGAGACTTTGAAATGCATTTGAAGCGGAATATTGGAGCCACCAGTGCTCCTGTGTCGAGCATCTCGCCAGCAGTAGCACCACCTATTCCAAGTAAACCCATGGTTGAATCAGCTTCTGCTCCCCCTCCAGCACCAGCACCAAAATCTTCTTCTGAAAAAGCCACTCCATTTACCAACACTTCTGTAGACAAGTCATCAAGATTAGCAGCCTTGGAGGCTTCTGGAGCTAATGGATATGTTCTGGTTTCTTCTCCTACGGTATGTGTTGTGCTTATGTCCGAGGAACAATTTGGTTCTTTTACTTTGTCCAGGACAATAACTACAATATAGCATCTAGGATTCACTTTCATCTTTTGTTTTTTGTGTGTTCAAGGTTGGTTCATTCCGAAGGGGTAGAACAGTGAAAGGAAAGAAGCAACCTCCAATCTGTAAAGAGGTATCTGTTTCATAACTCTGTTTGGTTCATCATATTTAATATTTTAGATTAGAAAATTCATGTAATATGTCATTCTTATGTCTTGTGTTCATATTTCCTTGTATTCCCATGTGCTTGTTTCAATGATAACCTGATTTAGCTCTCCTTATGCCTTAACCTTTGATAGCTATTTTCTACCTACAAAATAACTCCCAGTGGATTCTTCTAAAATCCTGATTTAATCGAGTAAATCAAGAACTAAACTGATCCGTAATTAAATATCCATCTAGAAGATTGCATTTTCCGTAACAAGATCAATCTCTTAATAAGTCCCATATCTATAAGCATACAGGTAATTTTACAGACTACCTATCCTATGGGTGCCTTCATGTAGCTGTTATCAGGACTTAAGTCTACTAACAGTGTCTCGGGATCTTGATTTCCTTATCCAAATACTGGCAACATTTGATTCCTTAAACCATAAACCTTTTGTATAACCAACTTGGGAACATAACTTCAATTTGGCTTCTCTTGATTCCAAACTGTACAGGGTGATCTGATCAAAGGAGGACAAGTAGTTGGATATGTGGATCAGTTTGGCACTGAACTTCCTGTGAAGGTATGTTTTCCCTTTTGAGTTCCTTTAATGCGTGTTTTATACTACATACTTCGCTCATGATGGATTCTTGATATGTTGAGCAGTCAGATGTGGGCGGAGAAGTTTTGAAGCTCCTCTTCAATGACGGAGGTATAATGACTATTATCATTTTTCAATGCACGATATTTAAATGCTTTCAAGTTGTGTCATATATAGGTGTACAATAAGAACTTAAATTAGCACTGCAAACAAGTATGGAATATGGTGCACAACTAAATTCGGAATACAAAAAATCTCGAGTGTCTGCAAAGTGGCATTTATAAATGTTAAAGCTACATATTTTTACTTAAAAACTTATATGGCTGCGAATACCCTCTTATGGTTTTAATTGAATTGGTAATGATTCACAGAAGCCGTTGGTTATGGAGACCCACTTATCGCTGTCTTGCCATCATTTCACGGTATCAATATCAAGTGAGCTTTCTCTCTTCCGGTAAATTCTTGTTGAAGAGCTACGAGGCTTGCAGTTTTCCACAGTCATTCTTTCCATCAGTGTCTATTTACGTTGTGGCATTAGGCGACACGCGTATTTCGCAATATTTATTTCAATATTTCTGGTCAGGAAAATTGACTGTAGATCAATGAATAATTTGATTGAGCTTCTATAATCGTTGTGTTAGTCTATTGGACATTGTCTTTGTTGTTGGTGGTTAAATTCCGTGATAAATGTAGTGCGTATGAAGGGAAAACTTTTTTCTTTTCTTTTTCACTCAAATGTTGTATTGCATGGAAGTAGTAACATCTTAATTTGCCAGGCTTTATGTCCTCTCCTGTGGTTTTAATTGAAATAGTCCGGTCCATGCTGAGCCATCAAACTATTTTATTGGCAAAATAGTATTTCCCTCTTTTTTTCATTAGCCAAAAAACAAAAACAAAACAAAAGGCAACCAAATTATTAATATGATTAGGACAAATTTTTTTAAAATATTTTTTTTATAAACGTCCTCCTTGAATTAGCAGCACCACTCAAAATTTGATCCGTCACCTCCCGTACCTGGCAGATAATAATAAGAAAGTCAGACTGTTGGATAAAGTTGATAAATGTCCAGTTTTTTCACCATCCAGAAAAGTTTCAGAGTATTTTCCAAATTTATGTGACGAAGAAAACCTCAATTTCCGACCCAAAAAAAAAAAAAAGAATGATTGAAGGCGCCTAAACGTAAACGAAAAACGAACCAGACAGCCCATGCTTCTAAATCCGAAAATCAAACGACTCTCTGCCCTCCTCTCTTTCAGATAGACCATGTGGGACTGACTGTTAAACATTTTCTCCGCAAAAACAAAGAATGAAGACCCACACTAACAGAGGCTTCGCCACAACTGGTCCACTCCACGTAACGTCTCTTCCCCGAGCCTCACCGGAAATTTCCCTTCGCCGTCAACTTCCATCCGGAATCCATGTTTTTCGGCGAGTTTCATACGGTAAACGCCACCGCACCAAAATCTCCGTCATTCTCCGCCAGAATCAGGCCGAAACTTCCAAGCAGAATATCGCAAATTCGATAGAAAGTGCTGACGATTGCAACGAAGCTCGCCGGGGTCCGCTCCACACGAGGCGACACGCGCTACTCGCCCCTTCGCTGGCGCTCGGCGCGTGGTTTCTAAAATCGACAGTGGCGAGCGCAGAGGACGCTCCGTCGCCACCGCCGTCGCCGTCACAAACAGTACCAGTGCCGACAGCTGATGAGAAGAAAAAAGAGGAGGATGAGATAACGTCAAGAATATACGACGCGTCGGCGATTGGAGAGCCCGTGGCGGTGGGGAAGGACAAGAGCAAGGTGTGGGAGAAGGTGATGAATGCTCGGATATTGTACTTAGGTGAAGCCGAACAGGTTCCGATTCGCGACGACAAAGAATTGGAGCTGGAGATTGTGAAGAACTTATGGAAAAGGTGTTTGGAGAGTGAGAGAGCCTTATCTTTGGCTCTTGAAGCATTTCCTTCTGATATTCAGGACCAACTCAATCAGTATATGAAGAAAAGGTTCTCTCTTAAATATTATATCTATTTAGCTTTTTATGTATAATCTACATTTCACACTCACTTGTATATTTTCTGTATTGCTTGTATTGATGCCTGCGCATATATGATGGCACAGCATAGATGGAGATGCTTTGAAGTCCTACACATCACATTGGCCACCTCAACGCTGGCAGGAATATGAGCCCCTTCTAAGTTACTGTCGCGACAATGGAATTCGGCTTGTGGCTTGTGGTACTCCACTCAAGGTATTCTTACATTGCTTTCCTATAAATCAAACTAGCTAGCATCAATATATAATGGTGTATCTGGTACTGGTTGATTACTTAAGATTGTATTTTCTGCCACTTCTTAATTTTAGGGTGTGTATAGTACGTTAATGAATAAAGAATGCATAGTGATTACTTTGGTTTTCATAGGTTTTACGGACTGTCCAATCGGAGGGAATTAGTGGGCTTTCAAAGGCTGATCGTAAAGCGTATGCTCCTCCAGCAGGTTCAGGCTTTATCTCAGGCTTCACTTCTAGCACACGCAGAACACCGGTTGATTCGAATTCTCCGAATCAATCTGTGCCTTTTGGGCCAAGCTCGTATCTTTCTGCACAAGCAAGAGTGGTTGAGGATTATACTATGTCCCAGATTATCTTACAGGCCATGGTGGATGGAGGAGCAAGTGGTATGCTAGTGGTGGTGACAGGTGCAAGCCATGTTAGATATGGGATTAGAGGGACAGGACTGCCAGCTAGAATTTCAACAAAGTTGCAAAAGAAAAACCAAGTAGTTATATTACTTGATCCTGAAAGACAGCACATACGACAGGAGGGAGAAGTTCCTGTTGCTGATTTCTTGTGGTATTCTGCTGCCAGACCCTGCAACAGGAATTGTTTTGATCGTGCTGAAATTTCCCGAGTTATGAATGCAGCAGGCAGGAGGCGAGATGCCCTTCCACAGGTTAGTATTCTTATTAAGGTTTTTTCTTTTGGTTTTTCTGGGAAATTATAGCTCCTACCAATCTCCCCTTAATGCATGCAGTAGGAGGTTACTTGTAGGTGGTATGTAGTTTTAATGGAACTAGTAGTTGACTGTTATGGTGGTTTTAGTTGTCAAGAAAAAAAGAGGGATTGTCTTATGCTATGATGAAATTAGAGGGATCATCTTAAACAACATGAATTGTTTATTTAGCTGAAATTTCACCTTTTCCAAAATGTAATTTTGGATTTAACAGATGACATTTGGTTAACCGAGGTGAGGTGTCCTGTGTAGTGGGTTTGCAAGTCGCACGTGCTTTTAGACAAATATCAACTCTCCTTAATGATGTTTTTTTCCTTCTCTCAAGAAGACCAGACTGTGACATGCTTTTCAGGATCTTCAAAAAGGACTGGATCTTGGTTTGGTATCTCCAGAGGTATTACAGAACTTCTTTGATCTGGAGCAGTATCCTCTTATTTCAGAACTCACTCAACGTTTCCAGGTGTGCAGATTTGAAATTTTTATCTGTTAACTTATCTCATATTTGTAATGGAGGGAAAGGCTGAAAACCAATTGATGTCAATGAACCTAATTTTGAAGAGTTTGACACACAAAAAACCTAATTTTGAAGAGCACATAAGTTTACTTTAGCTCATCTTGATGCAGGGTTTCAGGGAAAGATTGTTGGCAGATCCTAAGTTCTTGCATAGATTAGCCATCGAAGAAGCTATATCAATAACTACTACTCTCTTTGCACAGTATGAGAGGCGCAAAGAAAATTTCTTTGAAGAGCTGGACTATGTTATCACGGACACTCTAAGGGGATCAGTTGTTGATTTCTTTACAGTGTGGCTTCCTGCCCCAACATTGTCGTTTCTTTCATATGCCGATGAGATCAATGTGCCTGATAGCATGGATGCTATTAAAGGTCTCATTGGGTCCATCCCTGATAATGCATTTCAAAAGAATCTTTTGGGGAAAGATTGGAGTATCAATTACAGACTTGCATCTGTGCTTTTGGGTGGTCTAAAACTAGCTGGTGTTGGAATTATTTCCAGTATTGCGGCTGTTGCTGCCTCAAATGGTCTGTTTGCAGTTCGCAGATTCATTAATCCAGGTCTGGTCATTAATCAGCAAAAGAAAAGAACTCCAATACTTAAAACGGCAATAATCTATGGAGGCTTTCTTGGAACATCGGCAAATCTCCGTTATCAGGTAGAGAAGTACTTGTCTAATTAGTGTAACAGTAATCAAATTACAATTAAGGTTAACAGTCCACCAAAAACAAAAACAACAATAGAACAGCCAAATAAAGTAAACTAGCAACTCAACTCAAGGAACAACTAGTGACTCATGAAACAGCACCAACCCATGAGAATGAACAAAGAGAAATGGTATGTCTCAAAATTATTTTGAAGTCGATGGCCTCAAAAGATGCTTCCATTTTGAAAAGAGAAAGAGAGAGAAAAAGAAAACTGAGCTACAACCTGTTAAATTGGAGCTAAGTTGGCATCTTTTCTGCCTTATATATCAATGAACCTCATAAAGTCAGTCTTTCCAAGATTATATAGGATAGGACAATTTTTCTTTTCAGTATAACTAAATAAAAGCATATTTATACATCTTAATCATGTCTTATATTTCCTTTGGCATTAACTTGAATGTTGATTCTAATGCAGATTATTGCTGGAGTAATAGAACATCGACTTTCTGACGAATTTTCTTCTCAAACATTACTTGTAAATATGCTGTCTTTTGTTTCTCGGACAATAAACTCTTATTGGGGAACTCAGGTTAGAATCATCTTGATATTCTGCAAGTTTAAATTCATTTGTTCCTTTACTTTTCAAAGATTAACTAAGCCATGGTGACCATATTATTATTCTTCCTGAAACCCATGTGTTGGAACCTGGCTCATCCCATGATTGTGTTAGTTGTAATTATGTATGTGTAGAGAATATATACTTCACAGAATGAAAGACGGGGATCTTTTTCAGAATGTCTTAAGTGAATAATTTGCAATATGTAAGCCATGTGTTTAGCGAACCTGGCACATTCCATTATTGTATTTATTTGTCATTATGTTCATTATTATGTATTCTACCAGTAGTACACTGTTGTTTATATAACCCTTTCATAAACTATGTGGATCTTTTTCTAGCTTTTATTTGGCTTTTGTTTATGTGAGCCCTTGTTGCAATCCTTGTGAATAACTTGATCTTGATTAATCTTCTATGCGAACCTTTGTTGGTCACAATAACTAAAATGCAATTAGATAAGCTTGTTGCCCGATGTTGTTTCTGATGTATCCTCTTGACTGCTGCAGCAATGGATTGATCTTGCACGCTTTACTGGTCTGCAAACGCGGAAGAGTGAATCGTCCCAAATGCGAGATTCTACTAACCAAACGCCAGATTCTACTAACCAAATGCCAGCACTGGAATGTAACAACACAGAGGAGACAAATATAGATGAAATCCAGAACAAATGAGGTGATATCCCTCTTTATGTCTTCATACTAATTAGCAGATTTTGCTCTAAAAGCTGCTGGGAGAGATCTCAAAGAAACGGATTTTGGTCCTTAGCTTTACATGTAATACTTCCATTACGTACCCAATTGCTTAATGCGCTTGTAAGATACAATTCTTTCAATTTTGATGATCATAAATGCAATATTCTATAATTAAATGCTTAGTGTGTGTGTGTGTGTGTGTGTGTGTGTGTGTGTGTGTGTGTGTGAGCATACTTTTCAAATCACATCTG